AGCGCTTTGAGAAGCCACCTTTAAAGGCGCTATATAAAATAAAGTTTATTATTATTATATTATTATTATCTCCTCTCCTTATTTTTTGCCTACTGTAAAGAGCTCTGAGAAACTACTTTTAAGGTGCTATACAAAATAAAGTTTATAATTAGTAGTATTAAAGTATTATTAGTAGTAGTATCACTACTACTTTTATAGACCTCAAATTTACTCAGAATCCTGGTAAAGTGTAACTAAAATTTGAGTAAAATGCAGGTTTACAACTTTCACCACTTATAAAAATCAAAGAAACTAAAATTAGAGAATTAAAAATACACAGTAATAAATCTACTAAAATACAAAACCTGCACAGAAATAAGTCATCACTTTCAAATTAGTCACCTAGGGTGAGCTTTTAATGTAGGGGAACCTGAATACAGAATGCAGCTTCTCTGTTTCTCTTTAATCTACCATCAGTATACAGAGAAGGTTACAGCTATCTGACCCCAATGAACATGAAGACTGACAAGGAGACATCTCTGTAAGATGAGCTGGTGCCAAACCATTGATTTCTTTATATGTGAGAGAAGGAATAATGATTATATATTTAACTGGAAATCGTCTGTCCATTTATTCATCCATCCATTTTCTAAACGCTTCATCCAATTTAGGTGGCGGGAAGCCAGAGCCTATCTCAACAAGCAAAGGCACAAGGCAGGGTACACACTGGATGGGATGCCAGTCCACTGCAGGGTATAACAGGAAAAGAGTGCACAAGTAATACTATTCTTTTTTTGTTTCATAGCTCCAGCAGCTCTTTACAATCTGTATCAGCTGTGCAGTGGCACCGACAGATACAGCCTCAGAGCAGGTCCCGTGAAAACAATTGTATTCATATACTGTATATTCTCTCTCTATATGAACTATATTCTCAGTCCATAACTATGGAATATATTCTCAGCATCAGGAAGAGATTAATTTATGCACAGATTTCAATAAAACCTCAATTTCCCTCTCGCCTTTGAACAAGAAAAAATAAATTCCGACCACTTTGAAGAGTTCATTCACATAATTTCAAGTTTCCTATCTGCCTGTACCTGTTAAAATACTGTATAAGGAACTTTAATACATTTTGCAAACGTTTGGAACTCAAGAGAAGAAAGACTATGAAATGAAAAGGCAGATGATCTCGGGCATGCCATACAATATCAAGCTTATCATTGGTGCCGTACAATATCAAGCTTATCACTGGTGCCATACAATATCAAGCTTATCACTGGTGCCGTACAATATCAAGCTTATCATCGGTGCAACAGGCTCACTTGGCCACTCTCAGCCCCCATCCGACCCCCTGTGAACTCACTCAGGACGCCTCTCCCAAACCTTTCCACCAGTTGGACCCTCCCAGTCTCAAGCAGGACATTTCCCCCCACTTATCCAGGACTCCAACATTGAGCTAAGCACTCAAACCGTTAAGCTTTGCAGTACTGAGAGGGTCATCTGACAAATGTTTTTTCACCGTTTGTTCAGGATGGCAATTTGTCTCCCTTTTCTTTTTCACGGTTTCCTCCAAAGCTACGGCTCCCCGGCCTTCTCTGCTGCAGTTCTCGGACAGCATCACTCCCCTGGGAGCCTTGCAGCCTGGCTAATCACTCACCACGGCCCTCAGATCTCAAGGACTTACATGAAGTGAAAAATCCATGTGAGTACATTAACAGAAGCCCTCCAATTCATAAACAAGCTTCTGAACACCAAAAAGTTCCCTCATTACCATCTACAGTATGATTGCAGGCCTTTTATTTTACTTTGTATGATGCTATAATTGGAGCTAAGAAGCATATGATGAACAAAAGCCGTGCTTCGTGGTAGGGATGGTATTAGATGGGTGATGAGCTGTGTTCAATTCACACCACACATTAGCACTTTGCATTAATGACAAAGAGTTCAGTTTTTGTGCAGACCACAGAATCTTTTTGCCATATGGTCTCAGGGTCTGTCACGTGCCTTTTTGCGAACTCTAGGGATGCTATTACTGCACCTCCCATCTAGCCACTCTGCCATAGAGGCTAAATTTGTGAAGTTCTGCAGAGAGTGTTGTGGGGCATGTTCTCTAATCTCAGCCATGGATCTCTGTAGTTGTCAGGAGGGTCTTCTTGCCTGGCTGTTCGGTCTGGGAGGAGGTCCTGCTCTGCAGCCTAGGTGGTTTCATACTTTTCCATTTTCTAATGATGGACCTGATGGTGCTGCTGGGAACTAGAAACCAAGATATGTCTATATACCCCTAACCAGATCTATGCCTCCCTACAATTCCATATTGAAGACGTACGGACAGGTCCATGATCTTCATAGAGGAGTTTCTGCTCTGACACCACCAACGGAGGGACATATACTGTATAAACAGGTGTATTTCTTTTGGAATCATGTTAGTCATTTGAACTGACTACAGATGGTTTTCTCTAAGGTTTTTAGTGATCTCACAAGGCAATCAGATGCACTTGTGCTCAATTTGAAGTGTCATAAAGCGGCTGGATACTTTTCAGATTAAGATTTTTAATATGTGAAAAAAGCATATCATTTCTATAAGCATTTATTTCTATTTATGTTTGCAACAGAAATGGTGAGAAATACAAGGGGTGTGAATACTTTCTGAAGGCACTGTAAGTAACAGAAGAACAGTCAGTGCAGCATGCTGATCCTAGGCCTAGACCTTATTGTAGAACAAAAATACAGGTGGAAAATGGAAGTTAAAAAGGGAAAAAGACAAGTAACCCGACCTCAACTTTTCCCTTTATTAAAAACACCACACATTCATGCACAAACAAAACTGGAGTTTTAAAAGGGTACAAGGGACTTGTGTTTTAGAAGAGGATTAACTGCCTCCTATAAATAACCCATTCAGCAGGGCTCACTTCTTATTCTGCCTTGTCCTTCATATCTTTCATAGATTAAGGGAACAGGGCAGCCTCAATAAACTGTTGACAGCCATGACAGTCATTTAAATCAAGTGAGGGCATTCCCTGGTTTAATGCTTAATTGCCATAACACAAATGTGATGGAAGTTTGGACATGCCGTAGGATCTGCAAGTTAAAGGAATGTTGTGATTAGAAGGTTTATATCCTGCTCAGACACCAATAACTTTTTTGGAGAGTAGGGGGAGTCCTCTACAAATAATTAAAAGTTGAAGCTTATTCTAATCATGTGCCAAACATCACAGTCTTGGGTTTAGCTGTAATCCCCAGCTGGATGCTTGCATATTGCAAAGAAAAGCTAAATAATTCCTCAGAGTTTCACAACAAACTTGTGAATTTACATAATTGACAAGAAAATATAATGTTGTAGCAAATCCACTACGGGGAAAGTTTATTTCTTGAAAAGTGCTTTGCCTTTCTGTAAATGTTTCCAACTCATCACTATCCATGCCATAAATATTCCATCTAGTTTTAATATTGAAGCCATACAACCGGTATTGCTGCAGTTGTGGGAGATGCAGTCTGCCTTTGATCTTCTGAAGGTTTCTTAGCTGCTGGCTTCTGAGGCATCAATAATGAGACTACTCAAAACCACAGGATAATTCTAGCAATATTTTTAAATTATTTTTCAATTCTCTTGGCTTTCAAATGGACACACTTTAAATGTCTATATCATTGTATTTCTTTCATTTACCTTTCAGCGTAGATGTAACCCATCCATCAACCACAGAAGCAGCAGAGATTTCTTTTGTACCTAGGAAAAGAGGAATGGAGAATTAAAGTAATATGTTGTGTAAATTAATAATTAATAATAATTTTGCTATCATGGACTTCAACATGGTCGTATTTTAAAATTTAGAATTAAACTGGAAATTTGATAATGTTGTTCTGATGATTTCCCTATTTAAGCTTCTATTATTTAACCCTACTGTATATATGGTTTGGAAAGGCTTCAGGTATACAGTTTCTGAATAGAATAGAAACACATACTGCTGATTTTATGTCTGCATGTTTCACCATACACCATTTTGTTACATCTACACAATGCAAATTAACAATGAATAGCAATGTATTTCTACATATGATGTTAATGCTTTATTTACTTGAGGCATATGATCTTTCCTAACAAAATATTATCCATCCATTTCCTTTTATCCAATACAGGGTCACAGGAAGTCAGCCAGTCCCAGCAAGCAAGAGGCGCAAGGAAGGATACACCCTGGACGGGATGCCAGTCCATCGCAGGGTCCAGGGTCCAGGGTCCAGCCAGACACTCACATCAGGACCAATCTTCCAAAGAAGAGAATTAACCTTCCTATATGTCTTTGGACTAAGGATCTCCACTGGATGGCTGCGCACCAGAGGGTGGCAATCAGAGAGGTCCTCTCCAGACACTCGCATCTCCCCGGGACACGCGCTTCCCCGAGGAGACGCAGGAGCACCTGTTCTGGAGCTGCCCCTTCGCCAGAATGGACAACAATGTGCAGCTCCTGGGAGCGGGAGCGGGCTCAGTTACCAGAGCATCCTGCTGGGGCTGGCACCCACCGGACTGGACAAGGAGGCACAGGACTTGCTTTGGCCACTGTTGTCCCTGACAAAACAAGGAACACTCTCATCCGGCACAACACAGAGTGGGGAGCGAGGGAGCGGGAGGGGAGGATCCTGGCGGACCTCAGAGGAAAGTCACCAAACGGGGCTTCTCCATGGCGAGGGGGCGCTGGAAGGGACTGTGGGCCCTGTACAGGGTCTAAAGAGAAAATCCCTGCTCCCCGAGCTCCTCCAGGAGATTGGACAACCGCAGTCTCGGAGCCGGGACAGGGGAAAGGCACAGACAACAGCAAGGGGTAGGGCTTGGAGGGGCTCTGTCATTGTGCAAAGCCAGCCCCAGCAACCACTTGCTCAGACTGATAAAGGACAATCAGCCTTTAAAGAACTTTTGTAGCATAGTATTGGTTTGTTCGAGGTTGTACCCACTGTAAGATGTCTACTGTGAAATAAATAAAATAAATATTTACTGTCTTTGGACTGTGGGAGGAAACCAAAGCACCCAGAGGAAACCCACATAAACACTGGGAGAACATACAGACTCCATGACACCACAGGTCTGGAACTGAACTGAACCATAATGCTCATCCCTGTGCCATCATGCTGCCTACATTATCTTTTTGATGTTGGAAGTAAGATAATGTTTAAACAAATAAGTGATTTCCACGACCAAACTCATGGAATCAGAAATCTTTTCCCAAAATGAGATGACTGAGGGGGAAGGACCATTATAAGAAAGTATGCATCACAGAGATGTACAATGTTCATTATTCAAAAACTAATTTACAATTATCCTTCCTAACTTTGGAACGGATAACATTTTGATTAAAAAATGAGACCAAGTACAATATCCTGTAAATGCCATTCAGGCTTAAAGCATCATCATACTTTATAGAATGTGAATTATTTTAAAAATTGCAACTGCAGCAAACAACCAATTGCATTTCTCTACAGCAATTAATTACACCCAAAAAAATTTGAGTAATGTTACAGACATCTTTAAATGATGGCTGGAAACATTTTAAAAAATTAGGTTGCAGTTCTACAAAAAAGATCATTCCGTCCAGGTCTACTACAGCAAGATTCACAAATAGCTTGTTTCATAAAATAATCATAATTTGATTGCAAAACACACATTATGAGAAAAGGACAATTTCCAAAGGTGCAAAATAAAATTAAAATTTTATAAATAATTAGGAGCACGTTTTTTATTATAATACTGCAAAAACTATAATAGTTGTTCATTCGTAAACACATTAATTTAAATACTGCATTACACTGATAAGGTACTGTATAGTATAGCACGATTTTAAAAATGACTTTATAAAACTATAAAAGTAGTTTAAGGATTGAATATTTCCTGTGAGACTTCAAAACTTCCCCAGTTTATTGTTTTATACCCAAAAATTATTTCTGAGTATAAATCGTACTACACTTAAACTCTCAAGTGACAAGTTCAGGGTGTTTTCAGAGCAGTAGCGGACAGGCTCTCCAGTTGTGCAGCTCATCCATTGTGTCAAGGACTCAGTGTCATTTACCAACATGCTGTCGTCTGAAGTGTCACACGTTGTTTCTAGTCAGAAAAATGCACTTACATTTTTTCTAATACGATTTTTAGGATTGACAGTAATTTCAGTACCAAACATAAACAAGTCTCATTCAAACAAATCTCAGAGACAAGTAGTACTTTATAAGTGCTTGTGCTCCATTTTTAAGCTCAATTAGCAATATACTGTAACATACTGTATATTCAAAATACTCTGCCAGGCAATCCATGATGAAAAATTGCAAATAGCAACAAAATATTTTGTTAACTTTTTGCTACTTTAGTTACTGTAAATCAAAAGGATTAAAGGGTTCTGCTGTAAACACCTGGAAGCTTTAATAAACTGACTGAATAATAAGGGATAATGTTCTCAGTTTGTTTCTCAATAGCTATCAGTAAGATAATGTTCATGGGTTACCGTATGTACTGAACTGCAATAATGAGCCGAGCAATTTTGTTTCTAAATGTACTGTACAAACTTCATGAGATGAATTCTGAAAGTATTTTTTTTACAATTATCATGACCAAAATGAATTTTGCAGTTACTTACTTCATATGACTGACTGGAAATACCAATTAATTTTCTCTTAACTGTCTCAGAAATGGAACCGGCAGCTGTCAATCATCTAAGCTTAGTACTGTGACTCCTGTACCAGTGGGGGTTAATGACGAAGACTCTGCAAATCTTTCTTTATCATGCCATCCACTTGCATGGTTGGGATCTGGACTCAGGATCAGAGAGTTGTGGGTTCGAATCCCAGAAGGGTTGCTTCCCCAGTGCTGTTTCAGCAAGGTACTTCCAGTGTATATTATTACACTGTTATTGTTATTGTGTTACTGTCTATTGTCTTGTCTTCTATTTACATACTGCACCTGAGAGACTAATGGGAAACACTTTTCACTATACTATGCACCCATGTAAGCATAATGACAAAGTTGAATTGAATTGAATGAATCTAATAAACTGTATAAGGGCTGTATAAATGGATCTCTGGGTCCACAACAGAAAAAAATAATTTCAAAAACAACAAAGATCTGATCTGAGACTATCAAATGGTCACAGTAACTGTTACACTGGAACCTGAAGATGTACAACACCCGACTCAATGACTCCGGGCAAAACTGTCCACCAAATTGGTCAGTCCGCAAACAGAGCAAAGTAATTTTTTTAACTAGAGTACTAATATTTTTTATCATTGTTAGTGTACCAGTATTCTATAAGATCAGATAAGAAATAACACTAGTAAATAGGTCCCAAGAAATTACACAAAATGGAAAGATCACAAAATTAACACTTGGTGAATAAAGTGCTAGATTGTGTCCACACACAAAGTATTGGCATACTGAAACACGCACTCCATAATTAAAGGATTTATCCCACAGTAGGTCTAGACTTGTGGTCTTATTTATTTAACCATCCATACTGTAAACTTAAGGACTTTACAATCATCATGCTCACCTATAGAGCTCTGCATGGCTTGGCACCTCAGTACCTGTCTGAACTATTATCACCCTACTCCCCACCTCACAACCTTCGCTCTTCTAATTCTGGTCTCCTAACTGTCCCCCAAGTCCATCTACACTCTACGGGTGACAGGGCCTTCTCCTGTTATGCTTCCAAGCTCTGGAACTCTCTGCCCAAGGATATCAGAGAGTCACCTTCTCTAAACTCCTTCAAATCCAGATTCAAAACCTTCTTTAAGAGAGGCTTTACTTAACTGGTTCCATTTTTCACCCATCTGCTTTTCTTAGTATCACAATCCACGGTCTCCTCTATATATTGTAACTGTGTTTTATCTTGTGTATTCTTTTTAGTGTTGTTGTCATTCTGTAAAGTGCTTTGAGAAGCCACCTTTAAAGGCGCTATATAAAAAAAAGTTTATTATTATTACTACGTCTCTTGCTGCCAGATTCTGATGCTTGTATCCTCCTTATATTGTGTTAGTACCTTGTCATAGGAGCACTCTCTCACTGAGCTCTTATTTTGAATCAGCAGGGCACTGTTCATCATCAGCAGATCTTAACACCATTAAAAAACCACAATAATGATGCGGCAGGAAGAGGAGGGGTCTGGACATGAGGTAGCAGTAATGTAGGCAAGCAATCATCTAGTCTGTAGTACTTCAAAAGAAATCCATGTGACAGAGAACCTACTGTATCTTCCCTGCACTAAAAAAAAATATCTGCTAATCAATAATCATGACCTTGACTCTTGCTTTTACCAGCACTTGTATGATTTAAAAGACCTCCCATAGGAAGAATTAAGAGAGACAAACTCGCTTGCTCTTAGATTAGCAAAGGGCTGTGGAGACGTTAGAAGCTCATCTGCTTTACCATCACACTCCGAGTCTATTCAATCAATACGAGGAGTGATATTCTGTCATCTGTGTGAAGTATCCCAATGTTAGCCATGTCTTCAAGGGGTGTAAAGATTTTGAGTTTAACCTTCACCAGGACTAAATGTTCTGAATAAAAAATGATTTTAGAGGCAGGGGCATTCTGTTTTCTGAGGAGACTAACACAGGCAAATTAATAAAAACTGCAAATTAACAAAGGTGAGCATCCACAATCTTTGATTGTTTAAATACAATGCATTTGATGAAACTTATTTTTTAAAAAGCTTGTAGAAGATCATTTCTTTTAAAATGTCTTAGTTTTCAATA